ACTATATACTATTCATACCAAATCACTGTTTTTATGTCCATGCTTGTTTTTATGCAATAGTATTTCTTATTTTTTCTTGTGTGCTTGTCTTCCATTCTCAAATTATTTTATTTGAACRATTGCAGCTCTAATGATCAATAAAGTATTCTAATTGGATGAAAGGCAAAGTAAGTGGTACAAATAATAATTTAAGAAAAACAGCTGGAAGAGCATTTTGATATTAGTTAGGGTTATTGTAAATAGGTCAGTAAAAGGACTGAGTTAAAAAACATTTAAAAAATCAGGAAATACTTTGAATTATTAGTCTTTCATGAAATGGTATTTCCAACATCTGCTTTCTTTTGAGTTTCATTGTTAAATATCCTTTGTTGATCATATTTAAAGGGTTATTTCAGTTTATTGACTAGACTGGGCTGATGAGCTAACGGCTAAAATAAAAACAGATTGCCACCGTTTGATCCAAATTTCTCAAAAAATGCCGTATCAATTTGTTCAAAATTGTCTTTATTGAACCGTTTGTCATTATTTTTGYAATATGTTCACATAGAATTTAATGTTTATTTCCGCTTATGACAAGCAGCGGCATCAGCTAGCTGTAGCTGTAACTTCCTGTGCAACCTTAATCATCATTTTGCTAAAGTAAACATGGAATAGGAAATTATTAGCAATATAAATGTATAAATATTGGGGATTGAATGAGCTGTTATATTTTAAGACTGGAATTGTTTCAAAAATAGCAACAGGATTTAAGCCTTCATCTTTGGGAATGGATTTTCTTGAAGTAGTCATTGTTGACTCTTTAATAYAGTTTGAGTAGATTTTGCTGCCTTAAAACAATATTTTTTGCTAACTTTCTGTATAAAAGTAAAAATAAATAAATAAATAAAAAACAYTTGTGTTGCAGGTTTAATCTGGATCCAGAAAGGAAGTGCACCGACGATCGCCTGTGGGAGGCGCTRGAGATCGCTCAGCTGAAGAACATGGTGAAGGCGCTCCCTGGAGGACTYGGTACTGATAACTGACCTCAAATAAAGATAGAATTAATTTACATAAACTAAAAGACACATTTGAAGTTCAGGATTCAAGGATCAACATTAAATTTAGATTGAGTTATTTTTGTTGTTGTTGTTGTTGTTGTTTAGATGCGACAGTGACGGAAGGCGGGGAGAACTTCAGCGTTGGACAGAGGCAGCTGTTCTGTTTGGCCAGAGCCTTCGTTAGAAAGAGCAGCATCCTCATCATGGATGAAGCCACAGCATCTATAGACATGGCCACGGTGGGTTCAACCTGATGTAGATTGATTAAAATTATCTGAGCCCCCAGATCCCSCCTAGGACTGCTTCACTCCACAGCTTCTTGTTAACAGGAATTTGTGCCTCGTGAAAATGAAGGCTTCTACCATTCTGATTCAAATTAAATTTGTATCTGCTTTAATTGGACAMAACTTGATCTTCATATGTAAATGTAGGCAGTGAKWTTTCGAAAATTGCACCAACAAAMTYTTGCCTTGGRCACCAAATTGGCCAGGGCTGGCCCTGCTTGGGGCTGAGCACCCCCCAGATCACTCTTGAAATTAAATACTCTGAGCAGTTTTCAAATGAGCGTCACAGTTTTCWGGAGTTTTGGACCCTGGAATGCAGACATTTGACACAAGGAGCTTGAGAAAATAAGACATATTTTTATTAAAAGMAAACAAAAAGGCTGCCGTGGCAGCAAACTCCAGCTGACCTTGTCACGCTGTGACCTCCAGCTGGCACTGGYGTGGTTTTCAGCCGGGGTGAAGATCAGCAGCTTCGTATCTGAGGCGGTGGTCCCCAACCATAAAGGTTGTCTTGCCAACTCGAGGTTGAGAATGAGAACCTTTGATTACAAAGTTAAAAATACATGTCCTAAAATGAGATAAAAGTATTTCTTTGACTTTTATTTTTATTTTTGTACTTGTATTAACTAGCCTCTGTACTTGGGAGCATCTTCTGCTCTGCTTATTTCCTATTTTCTTCCCCATCTTTTACAGGAAAACATCTTACAGAAGGTTGTGATGACGGCGTTCTCAGACAGAACAGTCGTTACGATCGCAGTAAGTCATTCAGCTCAGTCTGTTCAGTGCTGATGCAGAATTAAACCTTTTATYATTATTCCTTTTACTCATCTTTTCCTGGATTTTAGTTTGTTTTTCACACTTRCAAAATTT